TCTCTCTCTCTCTCTCGCTCCCTCTCTCCCTCCCTCTCTCTCTCGCTCCCTCTCTCTCTCCCTCTCTCCCTCCCTCTCTCTCTCTCTCCCTCTCTCTCTCTCTCTCTCTCTCTCTCTCGCTCCCTCTCTCCCTCCCTCTCTCTCTCGCTCCCTCTCTCTCTCTCTTTCTCTCTCGCTCTCGCTCCCTCTCTCCCTCCCTCTCTCTCACGCTCCCTCTCTCTCGCTCTCGCTCTTTCTCTTTCTCTTTCTCTCACACACTTTCTGTGTTTCTCTCACTAGGGTATCGACTACAGTAGTAGTGCCTACCCCGCATACGGGCAGTCGGCCTACCCTACCTACTACCCCTCACAGAACTACCCCTACATGACGGCAACCAATCCCAGCTCGTCGTTAGGCGTCGCCACGGCAACTACAGTGCCTTCAACAACGACCACATATCAGCTTACGCCTGTTCCAGCAGAGCCCGGTAAGCATTGCCTATCGCTAGTCGTCTGCGTGTGTTTGTCGTGCTCCCGCACTTCTGTATTTTTCTGTATTTTTTTCATTATTCGCATTTTTCCCCGCTTTGGAAGTTTCCTCGTTCTTTATTCCCCCGTAGAGGCGGTAACCTCCTCTTCCCCGTTTTTGTTCTACGTCGTGTGTGTAATTTTTCTACGTAGAATTTATTTCACGGCTCTTGTTTCTGTTACAGACGCCATTTTATTTTAGCCGCATTATCGTAAATCGAATGTATTGTTTCTTATTGTTCCTTTGTTTCTGTTTTGTATTGTTACCGGACGCGGCAAACACCTTTTGGTTAGCGTTCATCAACTACGTAATATTTCACGCGCGCGGGTTCCGCATAGGAACCTAACCTAAAAGGATCTAATGGGTCCTATGACTCGTGCATTCGTGAACTTTGTTCGTTTATTTAACGTTGAAATATATATATTTATTATAATATTGACTGCAAAACGTGGTATCGCAGGATGCGGGCGTCATGACTCAGAAACAAAACATGGAAAACAAGAGAACAACAAGACAATAAGAAAACAATCGCCTCCTTTGTGAACGGTTGTTTTTATTTGCGATGGTGAGATGGTGTTACCGACCTGTTTTTTATTAGAAATACAGGATTTCTAAGAAATAGGTATTATGGCGAATAATTGAACATATAGCGTCAAAGTAACTATAATTTTGTTGTGTGATTTCGTTCTTGTAATCGTTGCTTGATAGCTGGGGTAAGACCCCGAGAGAGTTCTAGCTGTCGTAAACTTACGACAGGATAAGCTACGATTTTCCATCCTCGTAACTTCATGATGTTTACATCAATGAATGGTCTACCAGATCAAGTTACATCCATGACTAATCATACTAATAAAAATTTTTTGACAACGGCTAAATTATCTACTAATTTCAAGAGATTGATTCCTTGCAATTCAGCAGATATTTTTCGGCGTCTGAGTGCTTTAGTTCACCCAGCGTAATCACCGATGTTTATAGACCAGGATTACCTTCCCTCTCTCCTACTGCAATTTATATGAGAAAATTGTTTTTCATGCGGTTGCGCTTGTGTCATAATTTTCCTCGCGCGCGAAAAAGAATCTACACTGCGGGGAAAAAACTGTGTCGGAGGGAGGGGCGAGCAGGGGGAGGAGGAGGAGGAGGAGGAGGAGGAGGAGGAGGAGAAGTAGAGCGCGGCGGGAACGAGGGAGGGCGTGTCGCCTCGCGTGCGGCGGCGGCAGCGACGACGATGATGATGATGATGGCTGCTATTTTTATCCGGCGAGGAAAGAAGTACGCGCTGAAGAGAAATGTTCAGAAGCGATGAGATTTGTTGCGAGCGAGGCAGCAATACTCTCTCTCTCTCTCTCTCTCTCTCTCTCTCTCTCTCTCTCTCTCTCTCTCTCTCTCTCTCNTGGGTGTGTGTGTGCGTGTGTGTGTGCGTGTGTGTGCGTGCATGTGTGTGTGTGTATGTATGTATGTGCGTGCATGCGTCTGCGTGTGTGCGTGCGTTCGTGGTGTGTGTGTGTGCGTGTGTGTGTGCGTGCGCGCGTGAGTGTGAGCTTGTGTGTACGTGCATGCGTCCGCGCGTGTGTGTGTGTGTGCGTGCGCGTGTAAGCGTGTATGTAAGCGTGTTCCTCCTCGTCAGCTTACATTGCAGCTTCAGATCGCTATAACAGAGGCGCCGTCACTCTGCTGTCAGTGTAACCATCAGCATCTCTCTTCTGCTCGCGGCGGCGGCACTACCATACTATGTTTAGCCGCCGCCGCCGTAAGAAGTCAGCGTTTCTTACTAGACGCGCTTCCAGCGATAAAACCTCAACGACTCGGCGTTCTCAGATCGAGTCGAATGTCGATAAACCAATTAACTGATTGTGTAAATTCGATGCAGATGCGAGATTGAGCGACGCCGCCGTTAAGTGTTTTAATTTTAAAATTGGGCGCTGTCGCTCTCGCTCTTCCTCCCTCTCTCTTTCTCTCTCTCTCTNACTACTTCTTCGTTTCGTTGTACTTCGTTATTGGATATTTTTCTTTTTGCGATAGAGATTTAGCTTGTGCTAATTATACCCGTGACAGTGTGCGTGTGGCAATCACGCAACTTCCCCCTCGATATTAATTCTTCCTTCCGCCACGGCTACGCATGCACACTCTTGTTTCGAACCTTCGGCTGATCTTGAGGAATTTCCCGAACGGACGTTTTTGGTCATGCGCGGATAAAACAGAGGAACGTGATGTCTATGTGGCGCGTGTGCGAGAGTAAATATTATCACGCTAGGAAACCTAGGATGCCTGAGTGAATTCTCGCGGCGATTAAACCGTCTACTACGATCTGCACCAACATGCGTTCTACTTCTAAACGCACGGAGAGCTGCTGCTCGTGTTTGTAAGAAATGAAGGGCAAAGCCACGCCTGCCGCGTGCAATGTCATTCGCACCGCTCTTCTATCTATCAACCTCTCTCTCTCTCCCTCTCTCTCTCTCGCTCTCTCTCTCTCTCTCTCTCTCTCTCTCTCTCTCTCTCTCTCTCTCTCTCT